CTTCATCAGCAGCTTATGAATGAATGGGATTAGTTAATACTGATGGTCACTTTCCATAGCAGCCTCTACCTTCAGTGTGTGAATGTGTAGGTGAGACCTGCGGTGTAAAAAGCACTTTGAGTAGTCAGAAGACTAGAAAAGAATGATACAAATAATTATCATTAAAGAAAATGAATGATTGATTTATCACACGAGTAAACACTGACACTGGTAAACATCCTGTACCTTCTGAACACACCTGGAACACGTTCAAAATACTGAATACGATGGTTACCATGGGTCAATTTAAAAACCTGATCGTCAGTGTGAATGTTTCTAACTGGAGTCGCCTGCTCTGCTGGTTTAGTCTCTTGGTTTTATAATCTATGGGTTTTATCTTCTTTTTTTTGGTCATATTTTTGTTTTAATTGTGCTCTCAACATCATCATCATGTAAATGAACACTTGCCCTCAATGATTCCTCGAGAATAAATAAAGGTTCAATGAAATTAAATACTTATTTTATGTTCAACAGATAGTCTCAAACATTGTCCCCTAGTTTCAGTGTCGTGAATGTGTTGCATGTTTAGACCCAGATTGTCCATCTCACAAGCTTTCAGATAGAGTACACTGATGTCTTTAGGGCGGACAAATGTTGATACAAACAGCAATATTGTCCAGGATGGTCACTGCACTGTGGTCTGTCCACGTCTCTGAGGAAATCTTCACTTAAACAAATCTCGTCGGCCACTTCAGGCTATAGGAAAAGAAGTTCAAAATATAAATGTAAGGAACAGCAGCAGATAGATGCATCCTCCCAAAAAACTGAAAACTAGAATTTGCCTGCTTCTGTGAGTGATGAAAACAGCTGTAACTGTTAGGAGAAGAGCTGAAATGAGGAGGGGGAAAATGAAAGGGGGGGGGGGGGTTTATGAGAAAATGTGACAGGTAAGAAAAAAAATGAAGTCTCGCCTCGGAGCTGTGTGTCAGCGAGACATCAGCGATCTGTTTACAGAGCAGATGATGTCAGACTGGTCTGACTGGGTCTGACTGTGACACCTCACAGGTGTCACACTCTCAGAAGGGAGCCCCCCCCCCCCCGTGCTGTTTGAAAGCACTGAGGGAACATTATGACTTTTTTTCTTTTTTTGTAATTTGTGTGTGTGTGTGTGTGTGTGTGTGTGACAGAGAAGAAGATGAGGGAGGTTTTTATTTTATTTTGTCAGTTCGTTAATTCAAGTTGCTTGGCTCTGTGTGAGGGAAATGAATGTATGATTTATTCATGAGTTTGCTTATTCAAGCTGTGAACATGTGTGTGTGTGTGTGTGTGTGTGTGTGTGTGTGTGTGTGTGTGAGCTTGTAACGTTCTGTTACAGACAGATTATTGTACGTCATCACAGGTCAGCTTGTTTTGACTTAATCTGTATTTGTCCTCTTTGTGTGTGCTCATATTTGTGACTCTCTGAGAGGTCTGAAGAAGTCCAAACCAGGAAATACTTTCATAATAAATCAGACTCAAGAACATCCGTTAAAAATAAACATGAAGCATGAACTACCTCAACTAGAATACTTTATTTACAGGCTGTAGGATAAGCAAGTCACATTAAATGGTCAATACTAGCTATGAACAGATATTAAGTCATATATAAATGAACCCTCACACACTCTGAATGACTTTCCTGTTTCACCTGTAACTTCACCTGTAGATTCACATGCTGGAGGACGCTATAGGAGACACACGTTGTTCTTTTCTTATTATGTTCCTGCAGCCGACCGGCACCTGCGTACAGGTAGGCTGTCTGTTCATGGGAGAGTCCTGTTTATCGTTCAATAGAATCTTGTAAGTGAAGGTTTCCTCAGGTACGGTGCTGTGATGAAAACACTTTAAAGAGCCTGTTCTAAGGCCACACGTTTCTTTAACACCAAACAAAGAAGAGCAACAACTGTGGATCCATCCACGGCTGAAGAAAATGAAGTGCCTGGCTTTAATGATACATTATTTTTAGAAAAATAAGATATACTTTATTGATCCTACGAGGGGAAATTCAAATTTTACACCGTCTATTGTGACATACTACACACACATGCACAAACAGAATCCTATAGACATGCATTAATGGAGATGTGTCAGAGTGAGGGGGCTGCACACAGCGAGCGCTCCTGAGCTGGTCTGGGGAGGGGTTCGATGTCTTGCTCAAGGGCGCCTCGGCAGGAATGAGAAACACAGCTAAACGTGCCCAAAAATCCCTTTGCAATATTCTTAATATTATCTGTGTTGCTGATTCCACCAATGCACGATCCTTACAAGTTATACCTCATCTTAAAGGTGAGTATTCAGGCTTTCACCAACACCAACTAGTATTATTAAAGGGTCAAAATTATTGACCGATCTCTCTGCAGCATCAGCAGCCAAACTGTCCAGAAGGATGACAAAATCCGACTTTAGTTTGAGGATAAAACTCCCAATTCAATTACTATTCATCAGTGGAAGCAGAGAGCGAGAGAGAGAGAGAGAGAGTGTGTGTGTGTGTGATGCTGTTAAATGCAGACATGCTCGGTTGTTCTGTTAGTCTGCAGGGATTGTTGATATCTGGCACCATCTAGTGGTCAAACCCCCTGTGTGCACCGGGGACAACATGTCATGAGTTCTTTAATATTTCATCTGTATCTCCTAAATGCTCACAATGAACAGTTCATTATCTTTCTGTTTAACACAATCAGACCTGCAGACTCGAGACTCGAGGCAGAACTTGGACCTGAGGCTGGATTAGTCCAGTCTGTGTTACTGGGAAATATAAAATCTTCAGTCCAGTCAAATACCAGAAAAAGTCTCACAGATCCAACAGTCGAGCTTTGCAAAAGTAGAAACATTCATGAGCTCTGTGCAGTAAAAACTTCTCAGATTCTGCATCATTTAAATGTTGAGCTTTGAGAGATGTGAAACTTCCCTGCATTCATTTAAAAACCTCTAAAGTCTTGAGACTTCACCTGGACCCCCCTCACCACATTTACTCAAACATGTACTCCATGAACGTCTGCCTCGGTGAGACGAGCGTTTCTTTATTTCCAGTAAACCATCAAAGAACAGAGTGCACACAGTTCTCCTTATTTAAATGTTTATTTGCTCAGGGTGGTAGAAAATGAAGTGTCCATTAAAACGTCTTTTTTTTTTTTTCTCGCCGTGCTGCTCGCTTACCGTGTCGCACACAGCAGCCACAGTCCTGGTTTTGTTGGACGTTGAGCAAACAGAGTGAAATATTTAGAGGGGAGGTGTTTCTCTCACCGACATCTTAACTTCAAAGAGGTTTGTGATGCTGCTCAAAAACATCTGCTGTGACACTTTTTTGTACTTCCTCTTCTCTGTTTTTCTGAAGATGTGAGCCTCTCTGAGTTTGAAATAAAGATGAGGTACTGCCCTCCTAATAAGATTCATAACAATAATCTAAATGTGTAATATCATTCTTTAGATCCTGTAAAAAGTGTCCGTGATGTGATAAGAGGAAGAAAGCTGCTTGTAGGATTTATTTCAGATGTCACAGGAACATTTCTTTACCTTTTAAAAACAAATGTTAACCATAGCCGTGTCTTTTAAATAACTACTCTCCCATAAATCTGGTTCAAAAAAGCAAAACAGGAATCCTAGTTAATGCGAGGTGTTCCTCATAAAAGACAACTTCTGTTTGATACTGTCACTAAATTTGTCTAGAAACGTCTGAAATATAACGAATGTGTCCAATATAAAAAAGATGTGAAATGACATTAAAAATCAGTTTCTGCTGGTCACAGTTGCTTGTAGTGGACTGAAAACACAAACTCATAATGTGTTTACAACAGGAGATACATTCAAACAGCCAAAGGCTTAGACACAGTTACACGTAAAGAACACCGACATCACAAGGAAACTTCACAGCTGGGGTTAGTGTTGGAGTCAAGACCACCTTAACTGAGACCAAGACCAGAGGGCTCCGAGACCGAGTCAAGACATTTAGGGATCGAGATCAGAGGGCTCCAAGACCGAGACAAGGCCGAGACATTTAGAGATCAAGACCAAGTCAAGACCACCTTAACTGAGACCAAGACCAGAGTGCTCCAAGACCGAGTCAGGGCCGAGACATTTAAGGATCAAGACCGAGACATTTAGGGATCAAGACCGAGACATTTAGGGATCAAGACCGAGTCAAGACCAAGACATTTAGGGATCAAAACCGAGTCAAGACCAAGACATTTAGGGATCAAGACTGAGTCAAGACCAAGACATTTAAGGATCAAGACCGAGACATTTAGGGATCAAGACTGAGACATTTAGGGATCAAGACCGAGACATTTAGGGATCAAGACTGAGACATTTAGGGATCAAGACCGAGTCAAGACCAAGACATTTAGGGATCAAGACCGAGACAAGACCAAGACATTTAGGGATCAAGACCAAGACATTTAGGGATCAAGACCGAGTCAAGACCAAGACATTTAGGGATCAAAACCGAGTCAAGACCAAGACATTTAGGGATCAAGACCGAGTCAAGACCAAGACATTTAAGGATCAAGACCGAGACATTTAGGGATCAAGACCGAGACATTTAGGGATCAAGACCGAGTCAAGACCAAGACATTTAGGGATCAAAACCGAGTCAAGACCAAGACATTTAAGGATCAAGACTGAGTCAAGACCAAGACATTTAAGGATCAAGACCGAGACATTTAGGGATCAAGACCGAGACATTTAGGGATCAAGACCGAGTCAAGACCAAGACATTTAGGGATCAAGACCGAGACATTTAGGGATCAAGACCAAGACATTTAGGGATCAAAACCGAGTCAAGACCAAGACATTTAGGGATCAAGACCGAGTCAAGACCAAGACATTTAGGGATCAAAACCGAGTCAAGACCAAGACATTTAAGGATCAAGACCAAGACATTTAAGGATCAAGACCGAGTCATGACCAAGACATTTAGGGATCAAGACCGAGACATTTAGGGATCAAGACGGAGACAAGACCAAGACATTTAGGGATCAAGACCAAGACATTTAAGGATCAAGACCGAGTCAAGACCAAGACCAAGGCAGGGCGAGACCAATACAAGACCAAGAGCATAAATATCAATGGAAAATCATCATCTTGTGTGCAGGGAGGTGTCACTTACGTAGACTGGGAAGGTTGTAGAAGTCTATTAGTGGTGGTCTTGACTTGATTTTAAATCTGGGGTCCACCCAGTCTGAGAGTAAAAATGACTTTCAAAAAGTGGTCTCGTACCGGTCTTAAGACTAAGATCGATCTGGAGTACTACAACACTAGCTATGATGACTCTGAGGTGTAACTTAACATGTGAAAATATTAAATACTCAAACAAACAAAGTTATATAACATTAAGAATAATCATCACGTTCATGCACTTTGAAACTTTAAGCTTCAAAACGTAAATGTTGGACGTTGAAGTTTTTGAATTGTTGTAAAGACTTCTAACCTGAGCACATCACTCCACACAGAGATCATGAAAACAAAGGTCTTCTGCTCCATTCTGCTCAAAACTAAAAAGAAAAAAACACAACAGGAATAATTTACAGAGTCAAAAATACATTTCACTGCTGCACACAGTCAGAGCTCGTATCAGGAGCTCTGTCGTTTAGTGACCGATAAAAAGTTCAACACGATGTAAAAATCAGAAAGGAGGATGCAAAGAGTCCTAAAAATCCCATAATAAGTCATGATGGGCATAATAAACATTACAGCTGTCTAAGTCAGCAATTTAAAGGATCAGTTCTCTAAAATCACAACGTTTCCCGCTGACCTGCTGAAGTTTATTAAGTTTATAAGTCTTGCTGTTTTCTACGACGGAGTGTAAGAGCCACGGAAAATCATTTTTTCTAGATTCAAGTCGAACATTTACGAGAAAAACGATGCTCAGTGTTCCTCATTTTCATTTTACTGCTCTACTGATATAACTACAGACTAAAAAACCAACTTTAATCTTGTAAATTTACAATTTTAATATCTTAAATGTATGACTTTAATCTCCAAATCTCAGATTTTTTCACTCTTAATGTGGCCCTAATACTCCAATGAAGTATGAAAACTGATTCTCCCGGCACTAATCTCAAAAACACCCTCCATCCACAATCAGTATCTGTATGTACATCACATATCACTGGAGGGTAAGTGTGAAAATAATTTAAAAGTAAAGTATAATATTTTAGTAATATCTTTCTTTTTTTAACGGAGCTTTTAAAAGTCCTTTTTTTTAATGTTTCTGCCCGTTCAGGTAGCGTCACTATAAAAGATCCCTCATTTAAGAGAAGATATGAGAGCATATATTAAAGTGTGTATCAACATGACATCAGGAGTTTTCAGACCAAACAGTCCTGGAGCTCCTGGAGAACTACAAACTTTTATCTTCTTTTTTTGCAAGTGCAGCGTAAATAGGAAACTCCAAAGTGATATAAGATGGATGGTTTCTCCTCTGAAGACAAACAACAACAACAACAACAACAACAAGATGGAGGATGCCTCCTCTTGTCTGTGCGTTTGAGATAAGCTGTGCACATTTATTCCACCTTCCCCTCCATTTTTAAGGCAGCTGTTGTGAGGCAGGTTTTTTTTTAGGGATGGTAGTTGTTGGTATTGCACTAAAGGTTCTCTCAGTTCTCTCAGTTGAATTCAGATTTGCGTCCTTCCAGCATACACCTTTGTCACTTCTCCTGGTTCCTCTTCTGTTCGAGGAGGATTTATTCCTGAAGGAAGAGCGAAGTAAGTCCATCAGAACCAGACTCTAAGATCTGCAGCGTTTCTCAGTCCTCGCTGTAAGGAAACAAGAAAAAGGGGGAGGGGTCCTCCAACTCTTCTTGGAAGTACAGAACAAAATGTAACTCAATTTTTGAATAGAAAAAAAAAACAAGGCCAGCTAAAAAAAAAAACATGAATGTGCTGACATGGTTCCTACTGGTTGGAAGAATTAAAGACGGAGTTGAACAAACCACAAACGTTTCAGACGTCTCTGACAGTCCGCTCAGATCCGATTGGAAATCATCCGGGTGTTCAGTTTCAGAAAGAACGACTGCAGCTTGCACAGCTTGCACTTCTTCTTCTTCTTCTTCTTCGTCCTTTTTTATAAACTCCCTGGTATTTGTCCTCCTCCGAGTCCTCCTCCTCGTCCACCCACGGTACCCAGGCTCCCTCGTGCAGCTCGGGGTTGGCTCGCGGGTCGTCGGGCGGAAAATAAACCGGAACGGCCGTTTGGTTGTAGTGGACGAGTCTGGCCAGCAGCTGTTGGACAACGTCCGGCCTCTGGTCTGCTAGGTCTTGCCGCTCACACGGGTCGGCTGTGATGTTGAACAACCAGACGGTTTTGTGGGTGGAGGTTTTGAAGGAGGTGGTCTGGGCTCGTTCCAGGTTCCACCACGGACCGGGGAGGGTGGCGAGTACCTGAGGATCAAAGTGATTACTGACGCTGTTTGGATAAGAGTTGTTGGCAAAGGAAAAGAGTCACACACACACACCTGTGGGGGAACCCAGTCTCCATGACCCGGGTCTCCTGTGAGCAGCTTCCAGTCTCGGACTCTGATGGCAGCCTGGACTGAGGTGTCCCACACGGGCTGGGGCGGCTGCAGCTTAAACTTTGGTGTTGGGAGGGATTTAGGCAGCAGCAATGTGTCTTGCTGGGACGCGTTCTGGTACTGGGATAACGTCCTCCTGGACTTGGACTTTAAATGTAGTTTGAGTTTAGTCTTAGATTTTGGGGTCGGGGGACTCGACCATGACAGATTCTGGGATGTGGTCCGCCTGGATTTTGACTTCACATGTGGTTTAATGTGAGGCGGAAAATCAGGGAGAGACGTTCCTGAGGCTGAAGGAGGACCGCTCGAGTGGGACTTGAGATGTGGTTTGTAATAATGTGGTTTCTGGTTCTGAGGGTACACCTTGACCTTGACCCTCGTCTTGGTCGTGGGTTTAGGGTTATGTTTTGATTTTGGGACGGTCTCGAGCTTCAGTTTGGGAGGGGGCTTGGTATTTTTCAACTTGGCAGCATGATCAGAAGACTTCCTTTGTTTCTTGACGTTCTTCACTTTGAAGGCGGACTTCTGCTTCGGTTTCTGCCTCAGGATCTTCTTCTTTGGTTTCTTCACAGCGTGACCTTTTGATTTGTGGACTGAGGAGTCAAAGACAACAAGTATGATGAAGAATCTCAAGTGAACAGTTTTTAAACTACTGTAGGTATCTAGCTTTACAGATAAACAGGTTTCTAAATACTTGGATTCTACTCTTGTATCCCAAAGTGTCATACCCGTCTTCCTTGTTTATCATCCTTTAGTACAGACCTCCTTCTTGGTTTTCTATTAATCATTATTTCTGTCTTCTTTCCTTCTTTTGCCCTGAATGCCTCTTTTCTTGCTTCTTTCTTTCTTTCTTTTTCTTTCTTTCTTTCTTCTTTCTTAACTTCATTTGACTTTTTACAATCCCACTGTGGTAACAATCTGACAACCAGAAAGTCCACCAGAGGGAAATCAAAGTCATCTCAGACTAATGCTGGGTAAATATGGGAAGTCCGTCATGGAATATATGTCATATATATCAATCATCTTAATCACCTGACAAAGACGAGTATATACTGGATTGACAGAATAAAAAAAATGTGGAAGTATGAACCTAAAAAACACACAAAACACGACATGACCAAAAATCATGCTCACAAACACACGTGTGTGTTCCTCCCCCTGATGCCTGATTGGCCATCTCCATTCACATGTGACTCCCTTTTCTCGCTGCCTGTAGCTGTGATCACCGTCTACGTCTAGGTGACGCAGCAGCAGCGATGTTTACATGCAATAGTTACCTGACTTACACACACACACACACACACACACACACACACACACACACACTATAACACACACACACACACACACACTATAACACACATCAAATTAGCGACAACACCTACAACTGAGTTTGATTATTTTCAGAGCTTATATTTTCCTCAATTTTTTCCCCTGTATTCTCACAGCTTGCACTTCTTCTTCTTCTTCTTCTTCTGTGCATAATCACGTCTTAAAATGATCTCTTTACTGTTTGCATGAAAACAAAAACAGTTTGTCGACTGGCTTCTCACTGACTGGTTTTGTAGCTTAATGCTACTATTACCATGCTAATATGCTCACTGAGAATGTTTAGCAGGAATAATGTCTCATCATGATTTTTTGAGCGTGCAAACTGTTGCTTGTTGGCACTAAACACAAATTAAAACTGAGGCAGGTGTGAATGTTGCTCGTTTGGCTCGTCTCTGGTCATGAAGCAGAGAGTTTCAGAATTGAATAAAACCAGCCGATGTTGTTGCGAGGTAACATTTGAAAGCATCACCACCAGAGTATCTCAGTGTTATCTAAAGCAGTGGTTCTCAACTGGTCCGGCCAAAGGACCCACCACCAACTCCTTCATGAAAATTGTGACCCAAATTTCTGATACTTTTTTCGACCGATCAGATTCACTGAATGAACAAAAGTGCAATTTGTAGCTCAGATGGTAATAAACACATGACGGAATGAAGAGAAGGAACAAAACCAGCATGTTTTAAGAGCGCTTCACTGACTTTTTGACACTTTTCTTTTTCCAGTCACATGTTCATGACCCACAGAAAACAGCTCAACAACCAAACAGACACCCCATGCTCGTTTGACTGACAGTAACGTCGCCCTGAAGAAGCTTTAGAGCAGAACAGCTCGGACGTGTTTTACCTGCCGTTTCCTCCGTGCTGGTGTCCCACTTCATATTCTGCACCACAGGTTTGTGCAGAGGGTCGATGTTGTGAAGGATCTCCTGACGGGGCGACTCCTTCCCCTCACTGATGGTGGGCCACACATCAAAACCATCCAGGCCCGGGCTCTGAGAGGGAAACAAACACTCCAATATCACTGAAAACACAGAGAGAATATCACACACTCTGAGGCCTACATGTGCCAGGAGGTATTATAAAAACCTGAAAAACCTTCACCACACGGGGATAAATAATAATAAATCTCCTGTGGTAATAAAGCGTATCCAGTTCCTGCATTAGTCAGATTTTGTCTTGATTGAGGCCAAGATGGGCGGACTTCTCTGCTCCCGGCGGTGAACAGCGTCCAACACACGGAGCCAACAAAGCTCTTTAGGGAGATGAACTAAGACCTCACTGACATGCCAATAAAACTAATTTACATCTGAGCTGAAACACAAAAAGATCTCTGCTGCCACGGCTAAGAAACAGAGCACTTAACATATCAGCAAATTGATCTACATGATCGTAAAAAGAGACAGGTTTACAGAAGCTGTGTGGCGTCAACTTTAACAAAGTCTGATGTAGACGGAGCTCCACGTTCAGCCCTCACCGTGACAAAAAACAAACTCATGCATGAATATAAAAAAAAAAAATCACTGGTAATCAAATTACCACAAAGTCAACTTTAGCTGCGCCACATTTTTGGCAGGAAAGCAAGAAAAACAAACATAACCTACACATCCAGAGTACAGCTAAGAGGTGGCTCGTATCAGTAGCCTGGGTGGCCTCGACGTGAAATGCATCCCTACATCTGTTCTGTTTTACAGAGCGATCAGAAGGTCAGACACGTCGCCTCCCATATGATATTCAACCTTTACTATCCTGTGTTTACTGTGAGACCGGGAGGAGAGGCCAACAAACTCCGAGCACATGAGAAGGAACACAAAAACTAGATCATAAACGTATTCAATAGGGATCGAAAATGAGGGTATGAGTGTGAAAAAGTCTACCATTAATGCTGTTCCAGTTCCACTGACCTTGCTGATGTTTCCTCCGGCCAGTCCCACCAGTGTGGGGAACCAGTCTGTGATGTGCAGCAGGTCTTTAGAGACCCGTCTCCTTCGTTTCAACAGAGGGCTGTGAACAAACGCCACGCCGCGGACTCCACCTTCCCAATACGTTCCCTGGAAAATAGTTTACAAAAAAAAAGTCCTGAATACCAAAAACACCCTCCTCATCATTTAAGTCATATCTGAGGATGAGTTGATGTCATTGTTTCAGGGTGGAATCAGTATGAATGTTACTTTTAACCTTTCATTATCTTATATTATCTTATTTATCCTAGTACATATTAGTCTTTGCTTATTTGTTTATTTTTGTGTTTATTGTTGAGAGACAAAGAGAGCACGGTTCACCAAAGTAAGAGTCCTTGTGTTTAAGCATACCTGGCCAATAAAGCTGATTCTGATTCATGGGATTTACAGTATTTTAATTCGATCTCCTTTACCTTTTATCTCTTTATGGTTTTAATCTGTTTCCTTCCTTTAAAACTTATTTCAAACGTATTTTTGTCTCGTTTCATTTCCTCGTTATTTCTTTCATTTGTTGACCTCCTGCTGTATCATCTCCCACTGTCTTGTTCGTTCATTTTTAGTCACATTTCTCTTTTCATTTTGTAAAACACTTTGTTCCTGTTTTGAAAAGTGCCACACAAATTAAGTTGATCGTTATAAGTGTTTAACAAAAACACGCTGACTCAGCATTTTCCCCTTAATACAGGCAATAGTTGATATTTGATATTTAAGATGAATCATTAACTTTCAGATCAAATCATTCCTGATAATTAAAAAAAGGTGATGCTTATAAATGTGTGATGTGAGCTGCAGTGTGACTCTGAGCAGTAGAGTCCTCTCTACCTTACGGCCTCGTAGCGGCCAGTTGCTGCCTCCAGTGAACGGCTGGGCTCCGTTGTCCGTGGAGTAGATGATCACACTGTTGCGGTAGTATCCGTACTTTCTCAGGGCGTAGGTCACGTTCCGCACCGCCTCGTCCACCGTGGACACCATGGCGGCGAACTTTCTCCTGGCCACATTAGTCATGTCGCGGTACGGATAGATGTAAGACTTTGGAGTCTGCAGAGGAGTGTGAACAGCCTGCAGGAAAAACATAAACACAGTCTACGTGGTAAGATGTTTTCAAATATTTTGGGGCGCTGGTGGCTCAGTGGTTAGTGCGTGCGCCCCATGCATGCAGGCTGTCGTCCTCCAAGCAGGCGGCCCAGTTCAAACCGACCTGTGGCTCCTTTCCCACATGTCATTCCCCACTCTCTCTCTCTCTCTCTCTCCCTGATTTCCAGCTCTATCCACTGTCCCATCTCTCCATTAAAGGCACAAAAAAGTCATTTAATTTGACGAAGAGCCAAGTTTCTGCAGAAGTTGCACAAAGTTTCCCTCACATTGTGACTTGCCTCATTTTGTGCCATTTGCTTGTTCAATCAAACTGACATGTTTCAATTTGAGCAAATTATTTGCGTAAATTTTCGCTTTTGTTGTGAATGCAGCATAAAGGCCTTTACTTGGCAACTTCACTCCATTTATTCACATCACTCTTGGTGTGTAAACAGCTTAAGACCTCTTGTCTCCCTCTTGAACCAGATAAAATGGTATTACATCATTGTTTATGTATTAACATGTTTTATTATAGAAGGGCCTGATGTTAAACTCTATAACTTCTCTTTACAAGATCATACAACGTCTGCTTCCCATAACTTCTTCAACTCTTCTGCGATTAAATCATTTCCTACATTTCCCAGAAGGCCCCAAAACACTTACTGATGGTGAGTAAGATGGTACTCAGTGTCCCTGACTCCTTACCAGAGATAAATCAAATGAAACATTTCTTTGTTTTCTGTTTGTTGTGCAGTCATGAGCGAATCAAACAAATCAAATGAACATGGCTGCCTGCAAAAATCCACAATAAACAAATAAAATAATATATAATTTTTAGAGTGCAAACGCTTTGAAATTTTATATTTCTGTGTGGCCAGCTTTTAATTAAAGGGCGAGGGTCTGTATTGGGGCCAAGTTTATGATCCTCGTAGACAAACAAACACTTTAATGTGGTTTCCATGTTATTGCAACGTTTCTGGTTTCCAACATCCAGACATAAACAACCCGTCAGGCTGCGATGTATCCGATACACAAAAAAAACAAATTCTTCCTGAGTTCGAGAGGCTTCAACGTAAGCATGGAAAGTATACTGTAAATACAGTTATTATTACTAACTGAATTAAAGTCCCACAGATGTCTTAATTAAGTGTTTTTTAATTCATTCTGATATCAAACTTGAGAAGCGTACCTGGAGGGAGAGCAGCAGGAAGAGCGGTCTGTCCGTGGGGTCGTGCGTCTCCAGGATCTTGCGCGCTCTCTGTGTGAAAAGCGTGGTGGAGTATTTCCCCTCCTGGCCCCATGCCACACCCTCGTCGTCATGGAGATCGTACCCACACAGCCCCGGGCCATCACATGACCCATAACTGGGGGACGGATGGTAGAAATGTTAGTTATAGTGTTAAAGGAACACAAATCCTGATCAGTCCTTGTGTATTCTAATGATAACTACATGGATTAAAGGAGCAGTATGTAACTCTGACACCTAGTGTTTAAAATGGGTACTGCAGACCAAATTCAAAATATTGGAGAGAGCTGTCTCTCCCCCGCCCGTCCTCTCTAGAGTCGATGTGCAGGTTGCCTACTTCTCCGGTCAAAACAAAAACAGACCATTCCTCACCCTAATCTCAATTTAGAAGGAGGACACACTGGCTGCTGCATTGTTGTTTCCTTAATGTCTGATCATACAGTAAGGTCACTTTATCATTTCATTCAGTAGATATCTCACAGATTGGACCTTTAAGGACCTTTACCTGTAGTAATCCACACTTCCAGTTAAAGAGCCGAAGAAAGTGTCGAAACCCTTTTTAGTGGGGAGGCAGGCCTTCCTGTAGGAAAAGAAAAGAGGATTGTTGACGCTGCATTGATAACGTCCATGCTTTTGTGCTTACTCACCCACAAAAACATCCTCCAGGTATTCATGGAAAAGTGTGAATAATGAATAAGTTTATGCATCAGTCACATGTTTGCTACTTTTTGCTGCTTTACTGTGAGTGTGAGAGCGTGTGTTGATATCAATCAGCCCAGCAGCCATAGACAAGATAAAAAAATATAAAATCTAATAAAAAGCAAATTAAAGAGGGAAGAGCAGAGAGAACAATAAAGAATATATTGGCTGTTGTACAGTGAGGGTTTAATTTGCAGAAGATTTTGAAGTGTAGTCGTTCTAAAATTGTTCTTGTATCGTAGAATAGAAGCTGTTGATTCAGTCTCCATCTCACCTGTAGAAGCCCAGGTGCCACTTGCCGACCATGTGCGTGCTGTAGCCGGCCTCTCGCAGCCTCTCGGGCAGAGTGTCCATGTGTGAGGGCAGACAGCTCGGCTGCCTCGGTCTGATGATGGAGTGTTGTAGTCCTGTGTGGATCTGATACCTGTAGGAGGGACGGGGGGAGGCATGAAAAGACATTCTTAATGATTCTGCAGTGGTGTAATATTACAGTCTGTGTCTGTGAGAGCTCCACACAGTGAGACATGCACACACAGCGCTGCGCTCCCCTGCTGGCTCTGCCGATCCCCTCTCGCTCCTGTAACGCCTCTGAAACCGGTGCAGAGGGTGCGGGGGGATCACTTCGCCCCCCAGTTACGCCTCTGCAATATTCATACTGAAGACAAAACGTCACAGGGAAGTAAATATCTCGCCTTGAAATGGAAAAGTCTGAATTGACTCTTAAGGTTGTCAAATGTTCAGTTCTCTAACACTTTTTGACACTTAAAGTCACTCAAAATAATCAATGTTATTTTATTGATTAATAGTATTAAACAGACCTTCAGATAAATGTTTCAGCGTGCGATAGAGAAATATCGCTGTCTAAAATTCATTGGCAGGGTTTCAGTGCTGAAGTGTTTCCAATGAATTTGTGCAATTTCAGCTTTGTGCAGGAGTTTGCTTGCCAATATTTGTAATTGAATAAAAACAAAGAAATGACCCAGGACTTTTTTTTTCTGCTGTGGTTTCAAAGCAGGGACAGATATCGTTTGATTTTTATATGAATCATATTAAAGTTTAACACCCCGAGGTGACTTCAGTCTCAGACAGATAAACACAAAGAGCTGAAGCGTCTGTACCTGCCGGTGATGAGCTGGCTGCGTGACGGCGTGCAGATGGGCTGAACGTAATAGTTCTCCAGCGTTACCCCTTCAGCCGCCAGTTTGTCCAGAGTGGGGGTCTTGATGGTCGGGTTGTGGTAGCCGATGTCGTTGAAGCCCTGATTGAGAAACACAGAGGCATGAAGAGTGTTTTATATTAAAGGTAATAGCTGCTGTAGACATGGTCATCCAAACTGCTGATGAAAGACGTTCACATAGACTGACTCACCTGGTCGTCTGTGAGGATGAACAAGATGTGCGGCTGGTTCTTCTTCTTCTTCGCTTCTGTCCCTGCATCCTTCAGCGTGTTTCTGTCACTCTGCTCCTGGACCTGGATCTGGACCTGGTCTGGTTTGGATCGGTGCGCTGAAAGGCAGTCCAGGCTGAAGAAAACACTCAGCGCGGTCAGAGCCATGGCGGCAGCGCGCATCTTCTCTGCAGGAGCCCTGCGCCCGACGAAAAAAACAACAACAACAACAAAGTCATAAACTTAACAATACCCAGATTCTTTTTAACGGACAGCAGAAAAAGTGAGTTTTTTAAATGTTTGAGTCAGCACAAATTCACACAAGCACGCTATCACTGGTGGACTTACTGTCGAGCAGAAAACCACATTTGAGATGGATTTGCCAACTTGGCTGAAAGTGTAATCTGAAACGACTCCATCTGGTTCAGCTAAAGCTCCGAGGAGGCCTTTTTTTTTTCTCAACATTTTACAATCTTTGGAGCTGAATACGGACTACTAAAAAAGGGATGAAATTACAAGTGATGCCTGAGAAAGCAGAAACAGAACCTTTTGACTTTTCTCACTGTTTAATGATTTTCTTTTTTAGTCACATTATACGGCGGCTGGGAAAAAACAAAACACAATGTGAGCGCTAACTGTCTCAGGTGGGATCATAGACTGTAAGTATTAATGGATGATACCTGAGTGATGTTAACCATCTGTTCCTGCAGGGGGCTCCTGAGTCTCATCAGCAGCAGCCACCATGCAGGAAATCCTGTCTCGGCCTAACTTTCAGTCAACCTAAGGACAGACTGAGAGCTGGAGCTGAGGCGGGTTTTAAGCCTTGTAAACCGTTACATCGGGCCCACCTGTCAATCATGTCAGCTATGAGCCTAACTATGGATAACAGGTATCGTTCATAAAATCAAAACTTTTCTCATAACTTGGGGGTTTGTTGACAGACTAGAGACACATATTAGTGTTAGAAAAACATGGTAAAGTGTATTTTGCATCACGTGATCTTTAAGAAGTGTTTCACATCTTGTTTATTTTCTAAAATGTACTTTCGTTTTGTGTTTTTAAAAATGTAAACTTGCCGCAAACTTTGAAGTAGTTTTGCGCTTCCCGGCCACCATAATATTGCCTTCAAGAGTGTCGTTATTTTCATTGGAAAAAAACAAAACGGGCTTTAAGGTTTGCATCATAACTGAGCGGACAGAAACAGTCTGTAACTGTAACAAAACTTTTTTGCTGCTTTTGGATCTCTTAATCTTAATCACAGCAATAGCAACAGATGTAGTTTGATGATATTTTGAAGAAGCAGGGGATTATGGGAGTTGTAGTATTAACTGTTTAATAACTATTACGGGTGATAAATATACGACTCAGCCACCAAACATGTTCACAGAAGAGGTCATGTATGACATTTATTAACACGTTTGCAGAGAGTTCTGATATATTTTTGTGTTTTCATGGGAGACGCCTGACTTCATTCCCCTTTAACATCGGTTTTATTTTTTCTCCTAATTTGCCATGAAGAGAGAAAGAGCATATTTTGGCGGTCGTGAGCTGAAAAGTTTGGGAACCTCTGCCCTTGAACACAGCAAGTCTTCCTGGGGTCCACATTTTAAAAACAAAACAATTCACAGCCATATAAAAAAGTACACATGAAAACATAAACATAGAAACTAATGTCCACGCAAATGTGTTTTCATGGAAGACCCTATAAGGCTGCAGTTTGTAAGAGTGTTGCGATAGAGAGCTTTAGATACTGACTCTTCTGTCACTTCATACGATTAAACAAATGATTCACTTTTTAAATACAACTTTAAAATTACATTCACAAGTTTTGACCTTCAAAATGTCTCGTTTAGCCTCAGGACTGACGCAGAAACATGAAATATACAATCATAAAGAAAAGGACGTCGAGTACCAAACTGTGAAATTTGGACGGCTTAAACGAGACAAATGTTTTCTTACATCATGTTGTTTCATCAATGATAGATTTAATTGTACTCATGTATAACTCATTTAGTTATAAACCTGATATTATTATTATTATAAATGATCTACTCTGGGTTAAAAGTTACAGTACGGTTCACACACCTTTAAAACTCCTCTGCATCAGACGCCACTGGTTGTTGTTGTTGTTGTTGTTGTTGTTTTTCACAGTCTTTAACTCATTATTCCCACAGAGAAGCTCGAGATGCAGCGTTGTAGTCTCTGTACGTAATGGAAAATCAAGCAGATTGTGTAAATCCGTATAATCTAAGACATGTTTACGGACGTAAAAAGTCAAGAGGGACACTAAGCAGAGAGCGATGTGGATCTTCTGTCTGTAAACTCTGTCTGATGACTATTACTGGATGTCTGAGCTGGTTTCCCATTAGGTGGCAAACTGGTGCTCATGGCAACAGCAGAGGACACACACACACTTACACACACACCTTCCCCTCTATGTGTGTGTGTTTGATCTTTTCCTGTGACAGCATGGTTAGTGTCTTAGTTCAGACTATGCAAGCACAGACTGGTTCTATTTTGATTTTCGGAATCAGAATCAGAAATATTTTATTAATGGGGGGGGAGGTTACAGTTCCTATTAAAGACAATAGGCCTATAGAAGTAGGAAACATAGAAACATATATAGAATAAAATAGAAATAGAATAAGCAGAGTAACTTAAGAATTAATTGCTCTGTATAAGCAGGTTATTTATGAACAATATTTACACCATGGGACATCTCAGCTTCATCCTGGTGTCACTTAACAAACATCCCCATGATGAGTTCATGATGAATTCTCATCTCCTCTCTCATCCATCCAGCTGGGATATTTCTCTAAAACAGGCCTGAATCAATACCTCGATGTTGGATCAATGGGAGTGATCGGCTCTTCTCCTCCTCCCTTTCTCTCCTCTCCTCTCCTCTTCACTTCATTCCTCCAGGTTCGGCTCTTTCTCTCCGGATCCCACAAAGTTTAGTTTGAGCAAAGTTTGCCGGAGACGCCGCATGTCCTCAAGTTTCCACAAAAACCTTCCTTCTTCCAGTCAGAGCGTCCGCACTCCCAATGAAATACGAGCGAAGTCAAGCCAGAGGCAGTGCAACGCGGACACTTCCGGTCTGACCTGTCAAAATAAAATAAAACCATTGAAAACCATTTGCAGATGTTAACCATTTACTGTTAGCGACATTATTCTTAAAATAAGGCAAACTGCTGTGTAATAAATATGCAATTAATTATCATAAAAAAAGAGACAAATTATAATTATTAATAGAATCAAAAATGTATTTACAGATTTAACATTATTTTAATTATTTTATTTCATAGCAAGCTAAATAACTAGCTTTGCCACTTGCGCTTCAAATGCCATTTCGTCTTGTCGCTCAGCATTTTGAAAAACAATTAAAACTTTATGAACTTTGATTGCAGATCAAATAGGCTACTATGGCAAATTGTCAAAGTAAAAAATATGTTTGTGGTATATGCATATTTCTCAATCTAAATAGCTTTTTTCTAAGGTTAACTTGAGATGTTGTTGGCTGGGATGCTAATATTTCAAAATTATAGAAGCCATGCTAATTGTAGCTTATTCATTTATTGTTGTTTCTTTAATAATATATATTAAAACCCCTCAAATGAGACAAATACTTAGTATTATTTTATTTACAGATGAATTGCCCTACGCTGTGATTTATCATATTATGCACCACATCATAATGTTAGTTTCACATTAGCTAGCGAGTCCTGCAGACCCTGATCCTTTCAAAGTCATTCAGTGAGCTATATTCTAGTTTTTATTTATATATATATATAATATATTGTGCCAACTTTTCAGTAAATAAAGTAGCTTATAGTACATGAAATGCACATATTTCTGTTGTTATTACAGCTTTGAGCCATAGATAGCTTGATGTTTTTTAAATGTAAACATTTTGTAAAGTAATGTAAAATCAAGCAGTTTCATTAAAAGGCCAATGCTGTTATTTCTGTGTACAAAAATATCAAAAATCTCTTTTCCAATCATGGGCGTCTTATTTTGAAGGAAACATTGCCTAACATCCGCAGGTCTTGTTTTTATTTGTGTTACTTGACAAGGAGAAAAAGGTTGGTAGAGCTTCCCAATCTTCTACGTTACTTTTATTGAAGGATACTTTGGTATGTTTCTCTTAATGTTCATGTCATGGTACCAGAGCCCCCCACCCCCCCTCCACCCCATGAGGGCAGAACATCACCCGAGGCGGTGTGACTGCAGGCTGGACTGTTAAACAGGCACAGGAGCCAGCTGGCACTCCGAGGAAAACCAGGAATTTCTCTCTTTACGCAACAAACTGCAGCTGCAAAAACTGCATCAAGTCAGTGCAGAGACAAACCCAGGAGGAGACAGGAAACAGGTCAGATGGATCAAGTGGGCTAATAAAGGCTGTTATGGATTATTTGATGTGACATGGAGGATGCTGCTGCAGCACCTTGATGATAATCAACGAACTGTGAACTTTAGGAAAATGCTAATTGAAAAATAAAAAACACTGTGTGCATCATTATGGGGAGTTGTAACATTTGAGGACAAAAGGAGAAAATATATTTTGCTTTGATTGATCCATAGACAAAAGTAAGACAGGAAGTGTGTTTACAGAAGCCTGTAAAAAATAAAATGTGTCATGGTAGATGATTTGTATACCACTGGCTACATTATTCACTCACAAAACATTTTAAATCAAAGAATATGCACAGGATGGTTGACAGGTTTCTTATGAACTAGCAGTAACAATGAAGGAATTTTAGGTTTTGTCCTGATTAAAGACCTTCTCCTCTTCTTCTTCTCTTCTTCTTCTTCTTCTCCTTCTCCTTCTTACTTTTTTTCTTCTCCTTCTCCTTCTTCCTTTTCTTCTTCGTCAGGGTTATCCTATTCCTTATTGTGTTACTGATTCAACAGTTTTGTCTCTATTTGAAAATGAGTGTGGACAGCAGTGGGACCCTTTGCGGGTCCTGGGGAGCCTCCACAGCTGGTGACGCTCCAAGTTTCCAACAAAACAAAGCAGCGATGGAGGTGGTGTGTGATTTATTAAAGCCTGATTCACTGGCAGTGAGCAATACATGCAGGAATGCTGCCAGACAGTGTTGCAGCTCCTCCAGATAAGAAACGGCTGCTCAACCAAACTAAAAACACCTTTTTAAACCCTAATATAAATCATTTCTTATCCTAAAAATGATTAATTGTTCATTTAAAAGTCTATTTTTTCTCAGAGCCTCCAAGTCCAGGTTAGTTGATCAACAGATTTGTACTCATTTTTAATTCTTTGAAGCTCTATCACAGCTAAATGTGTGTCTTATTCTCTCTTTTTCCTTTGTTACTATTTTAACTTTTCTTTTTTTTACACAAAAGCCCTTCTAGGGACGGGTGTTGCAAATTATCTTCTGCTATAAACTGTATGATACCTGCATTGGATTGCTGTTTTCAGGTGCTCTATGTCTGTCCCTATCAAATAAAACATAAAAACTATTCATGACTATTCAATCGCTCGTTGAGGAATGTATTCATCAATGTTAAAGAATACAACTTGTGTTAGGAAAAAGGGAAAAAACAAGATTAACAGTTAAAAATAACAATACATTGAAACAGCTACATGTCAAAACTCAGAGACACACGTGCTGATGAGCGACTAGTCAAAGAATGAATAAAAGGAGGGCTGCTGTCCTCAGAAATACAAATTCAGATCCTTCCAGTGTGACTTTATTAGACCTAATGAGATTCATTGATAAACTTGTATTTGTAACAATATAAGTAAGTACAAAATAACTTTTTTATCTTGTTTTTCCGCTCCACAGTCAGAGAGCATCACAGTAATGTGAAGGCTGAAACTGATTGTATACGTTTCATTAACGCTCTTTGGACTTTTAATACTGCACCTTTTGTATATTTTTTGTTTTTATTACATATATTAGTAATCGCTTCTTATATTTTATTTTATTTAAGTTCTTGCTATTTTTTGCCTTTCTTCCCTTGTTAACTGTTTTGCACCAAAACACCAAGTCAAATTCCATGTATGTGCAAATGTACTTGGCAATAAAAATTGATTCTGATTCTGAAGTAAAGTTAATTGATACAGCACCTTTCAAGAACAGACATCACAAAGTGCTTCACAATACAGATTGAGCAGAGACATTACAAACACACAGTTACTACAGTCACATATAGACAGATTAAACAAAGGCATGTCTGTCTTTTTCATTTCCTAACATCTCATCAACTTGGTAAATCATCTTCACTCAAATGGGCTTCCATACAGAGGTAGTAAATGTTCATGGTGAGCTATTAATGTGAAATGAATCCTATAAATTGTCAATAAAAAACCCATTATTTGTCCCCAAATGATTCTTTGAAAATCTTACTGATACTTTAAATACGTTCATTTTCCTTCCCAGCCTCCTTTAATTCAATACATTTGTCTTTGATTTGACAAAGTTAGGACTTCAAATTAAAGCTGTGTATTCAATAAACTGAAATATGATGAATACATAAGAGAAAACGTCATGTATATTAACCATCTGTTAAATAATTACATATTACTATCAATCTCATCTCAGCATTTTTGCACAACTCACCATTGCATTATTGTCTTATTTAGCCTTGTATATATTATTATCTGCTTATTATGTTAAATATTTAATTTTATATTTTGTACTTTGAGAGCACAGTTCACCAAAGACAAATTCTTTGTGATTTCATAGTACAATTACAAAAGTAAAAATCAAGTTTGTTGTCCAAATATACCAGGCTTTACAACAGAATGTCATGTGTCTTCCCATGTTATAACTATATTAGTAATTATATATATTCAAAGGCATGTTCTTTCAAAAGGTGTATTTAGTCCATTTTTATTTCATTTAGTAATCACAGAACATTTTTTTTTTCCACTTCATTATTCCTGCACAAAAAAACCCAAACAACCTCAACAAAACTACATTTCCCATGCTGCATTTCGAGGGGGGCGTCGTCGACGACAGGCATCGCTTGTGAACACACGCTGCTGAATAGCTAGCAGGAGATGAACTGTGAATAACTGGTTAATAATATTGCAGTTAGTGAAAGTCCCAGTGTTCCCAGTGTGAGTCGGGACAGCATGGCGTCAGAGGAAGACGACGCTCTGCTGTTTCTCATCTACCAACACCTGAAGCACGGAGGATACAAGAAAGCTGCCAAAGGGCTGCAGAAACACCTTCCTCAGGTAAGAAGTTAGCTCCTAATATTCAACACTTCTCAGCCTCGTTTAATGTATAGAAATATTTTAATGTGTGAAACCTCAGAATATATTTAAATTTAAATCATTTTAATCCCTCTGTCGAGCAGACATGCGCGGTCTGCACCTTATATAAGAGCTTTAATAAAATATAAATGAACTTTCACTGTTCGTTTTTCCCCCTCCAGCGTTACTGTGAAGCTGCACACATATGTGTGTGTATGTGTGTGTGTGTATGTGTGTGTGTGTGTGTGTGTGTGAGGGGCACATGGCTCCTTGCTCTGGCCTCCTGCAGAAAAAGAACAAAATGTTTCAGGAGCTGCAGGCCTGCTGCTCAACACTGAAACCTTTATTCAAACCTCCTTACATAGTAATTAATGTTAAAACAAGATATGCTTCAGCTGCTATTAATATCTCAATTATAGACTGGTCATATAAATAAAAAAAATAATAACTATATTGATAAAGATTTTAGTTTATTATTATTTTTTTTAATTTGTGCTTTTAGTTGGAAAAAATGAATTATTTGATGATGCCACATTTTTTAAAATGTAGTATTAACCAAAGGGTTTGAATCCAACCTCCCTTATTGCATGTTGTTCCCTACTCTCTCTCTCTCTCCTGATGAAGGCATAAAAGGCCCGAAAATAAATGTTTAATCATGGATTAACCAGATGAAAGTTGCATTTGATTTAAGATATGAATACAACGATGTATTTTAATAATGGTACCATATAAAATGAAAAAATAAATAGTGCATATTGTAACATGTCCCTCCTGAATCCAAAAAAAACAGTTTGTTCTCCTCCACTAAATGGGCACTAATTCATGTTGTCGTCCAACATGATGTACATACATTGTTTTCTCTTGCACTTTTTCGATGTTTCTCCTCGTGTCCTGTTTGGTCAGTCCCAAGTTTCAGGTTTCGAACCCTCAGGCGAAAAATACCATCGTCTGAAGTTGCTGACAGAGTTTAAGGAGCAACAATCATTTAAAAAAAATGTTCTCAACAGTCTCACTGTGAAGATATGAAGCTACCATCACTCAGAGTCATCTCCACAGTCTCTCATTGGTAATCTGACTGCTGCAGGGATTCATTTCCTGGACTCTGTGGCATCAAAGTGGAGGAATTCCTCCACCACCATCCAGGAAATTTGTCTTTTCCTTTTTAACTTAATTTCCTCCCCTCCTCTTTCTGTCGATGTCATGATAATTATTGTCCCATACCAATTCAAGTCGAGGATGTTTTCTTCTGTAAAAGAATTGATATTTAATGTCTTTAATGTTTTTTTTTGAAGGTGGAGACAACAGAAGAAAGCTCCAACCTTCACGATATCTACACAGGCTGGATGAAGTAAGTCACACTTATGACACGGTGAAGAAAGTCTCTTTATCATAAACCAAAAAGTGTGTCTGTTGTTTCTGATCCTGATAAAAACAATGAGGTGGTCAGTGCCTTGTTCAAGGGAACCTCTGCAGTGCTCAGGAAGTAAACCAGCACCTCTCCAACAAAAAAGACTTTTTTAAGGCTCCTCTGTAACCCTGCATAACCTGTGCATGTAGATAATACTGTTTACTACACTGTTATGCTCTGTCATCACCAAAATAATAAAGAAATACTATGATCCAGTTTAGATCTGCCAGGTAGAAAACTGAAGAATTAATTAAAACATGATTAACATAGAAGTGAATGTCTCTGAAAACCAGAGAGAGAGACAGAGAGAGAAAGAGAGAGAGAGAGAGAGAGAGAGAGAGAGAGAGAAAGAGAGAGAGAGAGAGAGACAGAGAGAGAGAGAGACAGAGAGAGAGAGTGAGACAGAGAGAGAAGGAGGGAGAGAGAGAGAGTGAGGGAGAGAGAGAGAGAGAGTGAGACAGAGAGAGACAGAGAGTGAGGGAGAGGGAGAGAGAGAGAGAGTGAGACAGAGAGAGAGAGAGAGAGCGAGAGACAGAGAGAGAGAGGGAGAGAGCGAGCGAGAGAGACAGAGAGAGAGAGAGAGAGACAGAGAGAGCGAGAGAGACAGAGAGAGAGAGAGAGAGGAATGTGTTGGATCCATTGAAGTGAGCATCATGATCTCGTGCTGGTGAGGATGATTTTTTGTGCTTTAAATGAAAACATTTATGATGACTTGTGGTTATTATAGCAGGACAATGGATAGAGTTAAAAGAGTTAGGAGAGAGAGAGAGAGAGAAAGAGAGAGAGAGAAAGGGAGTGGAGAATGACATGCGGGAAAGACGCTGCAGGTTGGATTTGAACTCGGGGGGTGAATGCTTGGAGCACTACAGCCTCGGTACATGGGGCGCGACCTGACTGCCTTTTATCCTATAAAACATCTAAAGGCCGTTGCTTTTTGGAATCACAGTCGTCCAGCAGTCCAAAGAGACGCTGTGTGTGTGTGTGTGTGTGTGTGTGTGTGTGTGTGTGTGTGTGTGTGTGTGTGTGTGTGCGCGCGCGCGTGCGCGCGTGTGTGTGTGTGTGTGAATGACTGCCTGGCTCTGGCCGTCTGCCCGGTGCATACTGGGATTTGCTTCAAATCTCTGTCCCCCCCTGAACAGGATTAAACGTGCAGCAGATAAACTAATGAATGGAACAAGGGAAAAACCTCAGCTCACTACCTCTTCACTAAACTGAATCTTACACTGAAAACAAACCGATCAAATGAAGGCAGTGACAGCTGTAGCATACAAACCAAATATTAACAAACTCATTTCTCAGCTGCTTTTGAAAATCGTCCAGGTGTGTCGAGCTAACTCCTCCTCCTGCTCATTGGTCACATACCGACACATTAGCCTGTCACAATGATTACCTCTGGTTTGTTTAGCACACATGTTGAGTTCCTCATCATGACACTTCTGTAGTCGCTGGCTGCTCAAAATCAGATTTTGCCTGAAGTGCTGAATGTCAGGAAACGCTTTAGACTTGTTTTCACTGGCCAGTTATTTATTTGACTTTAAGTTTTAAAGGTCACATATTCTGTAAAATACTCTTCACCATGTTTCTCTAACACTAATATGTGTCTCTAGTCTGTTTACAAACCCCCCAATAATGAGAAGAGTCCATCCTCTCCGTCTTTTGCCTGCTCCACTTTTCAGAAAATGTGTGCTCAAACAGGCCGTTTGGAGATTTTCCCTTTGTGACATCACAAAGGGCAGTAACCCCTCCCCCAGGTGGGTGACACTCCCACAGCTAGGTGTTTGTTGTGCCCTCTCACAGTAAACAATTGGGCTGTAAACACTCACCAAAAGCTCAAGCCCTTCCAGAGAGGGGGCGTGGTCAGACACAGCTCATTTACATATTTAAAGGTACAGACACAGAAACAGCCTGTTCTGAGCAGGGCTGAAATAGAGGGGTTTATAGACATGATCAAATACAGGATCGGAGTGGATTTAGAACAAGAAACTTCACACACATGTTTTGAGGAGCTCTGAGACTTATTTAAACTTGTAAAAAATTCGAATAATATATGACTTTTAAAGCAAACTCAAAGCTATGGAAAATAAGCAACAAATCTAGGGATCTGAAGCTGTTAATTTAATGTTTCAGAAACATGTTTTTAATGAACATATACGTGAACATAAGTTTCAGATCAGGATCGGAGCATAAACTCTTGATCTGAACATCCCTTGGCCCTAAAACCGTTAATAACCTTCGATGAAACCTGATCATAAAGAAATAATCCCTGTGCTTTAATTTGACTTCCTAATTCTCTCCTAATCACATTTACATTTTTCCACCCCTCTAATCAGCGAGCTATAAAATCTCGATTGACATGTGTGTTATAGGTTGGGCTCTCTGGCGCAGCACGCCAAGCAGGAGACGGAGGACTCCACCGCTATGAAGACGGAGAGCATCAAACGAGAACCTGCAACCAGTGAAGAAGAAGAAGGAGAGGGTGCAGACTCCAAACTCTCCAACATCCCGGAGGAGAATCATGTGGACACCAAACCTCCATCAGGTCAGTTTTTCTGTTACAGTGATTATTTCAGACAGTATCAAGTAAGATCTAGTTTTCTTTGTTAGCGTCTTTTCATTTTTAAAAACTCTTATTTCTTTGATGTTTTAATCTTTGTGCACATGTTTTACAAGACTGTGGTTTAGGATTTTGTTGGGTTCAGTTCAGAGAAACATGATTGGTTCTTCTGCTTCAGAGTCCATGACAGAAGCTGAAAGCGTCTCGGAGCCGTGTCAGCTTCCTGAAGGAGACGCCAAAACAACAAACTCTGAGGGTGACGACGGACAAGAGGAGAAAGAGAGAAAGAAGAGGAGGAGGAAAGACAAGCGGAGCCAGAGGTGAGCAGATAGCATCACATGGGGAAATAATAAAAGTCTTGACAGATACACTGAAGCATCAATGCAGTAGTTACAGATAAGCGAGGGAGGTCGGCTTCTGATTTGAAGGTCACCACTTCAAATCAGAGAAGAGAAATAGATGATCCCGCCCGCTCCCTTTGAGCGTTCTGATTTAAAGCTGCTTCCCCTTTTTTAACCTCTTCTGCCATCATACTTTTAAAATGTTATCATGATTCGGCAAGTTAACTCCCGTCGTGCAGCTGTCGAACAATCGTTGCCAAGGAGAGGAGACTGGCACTCTCACCGACGTCTGCAGGGGGAAAGTAGAAAACAATGCACAGGCCGTTTAATTGAATCTGCAGAAGAAGAAAAAAAAGAAAACCCAAGCTTTGTCCGTTTAGACGTTTGAAAGTCATGTGTGGGATCAGGTTTATGTTCAGTCTGAAAGCTCCTCTTACAGGATGCAGATACTTCAAATCTGAAATCCCCTATGTGGTGTGGTGATGATGTATGAAACTTTAATTAATGGGTTTGTTTGTTTGTTTGTTTTCTCTGGACGTGTGAGCGTTACATCTCAACGACTTCATTAAGAGATCAGATCAGATCACGTGGAATCCAAAGTAGACGTCAAACAAAGAAAGAGCGAGTGAGATCTCATGACCGAGACGAGGGAGATCTCATTTAGCAGCAGCAGGAAGTCCCAACCCCGACACACACACACACACACACACACACACACACACACACACACACACACACACACACACACACACACACACACACACATAGCTGTTGTCCAGTCACTGTGATAATGTGGAGATGGATGGACAGTAGCTGCTGTGTTGTTATTTGCCCTTTGAAATTCACAGACACACATTTCATGTCTGCCTGTCCTGTATCTGTCCGTTGTTATTTCAGGGATGTGTGTGTGTGTGTGTGTGTGTGTGTGTGTGTGTGTGTGTGTGTGTGTGTGTGTGTGTGTGTGTGTGTGTGTGTGTGTGTGTGTGTGTCCGTCCTTGTCTCTGTTCTTTCTGTGGGTCCACTGATGCAGCAGATGAAGCTGTTTGGACAGAAACTGTGTGTGTGACAGAATGATAATCTTCTGAGACAAATTATGTTAGTGTGACTGTGAGTGTGTGTGAGTGTGTGTGTGTGTGTGTGTGTGTGTGTGTGTGTGTGTGTGTGTGTGTGTGTGTGTGTGTGTGTGTGTGTGTGTGTGTGTGTGTGTGTGTGTGTGTGTGTGTGTGTGTGTGTGTGTGTGTGAGTGTGTGTGTGTGTGTGTGTGTGTGTGTGTGTGTGTGTGTCTGTGTGTGTGTGTGTGTGTGTGTGTGTGTGTGTGTGTGTGTGTGTGTGACTGTGAGTGTGTGTGTGTGTATGTGTGTGTGTGTGTGTGTGTGTGTGTGTGTGTGTGTGTGTCGTGTGTGTGTGTGTGTGTGTGTGTGTGTCTGTGTGATGTGTGTGTGTGTGTCTGTCATTGTGTCTGTGTTAGAGGAGGTGTGTGTGTGTGTGTGTGTTTCTGTCAGTGTGTGTGTGTGGTGTGTGTGTGTGTGTGTGTGTGTGTGTGTGTGTGTGTGTGTGTGTGTTTCATTGTGTCAGTCTCTGATTTCTTGTCTTTGTTTTCTGACAGCAGACGAGTTTCCTCTTTATGTTCAAACCACCTCACAAGTTTTCAGAATTCAGCGCAGACACTTTTTCTTCTCCTGCCTCTGGCTGATGATGTTTAAACCTGGACCACATGCAGAGCTCACAATAAATCAAAGCTGCCAAACATGTGACGTCCTGCGTATATAAAGTTACTGATACATTCTGATGTGTAGTTTCACAATGCTCTGCTGGGAATAGTTCACTTGATAACATCATCAATCATATCGTGCCAAACATCTGTGGAGTTTGTTGAAGTAGAAGCCATCTGAATGTGATACCCATCCCAGCGGCCTCACGCTTAGTCACACTTTTTGTTCCTGAAGATAAGAACAATGAGAAATAAAGACAAAACTAACGTACGACAAGGAAATAATGCCAACATGTTGATGGTTAACAGACTTAGGGGGTCGTTGTTGGCGTCTCAGAAATAACAAAAAAAAAACATCCACAGTTAGCAGGATGCACTCATGTCTGTGAGTGGTTGCCATGGTTACTTTGTCTTCTTTTTGCAAACTATGTTGCACACTGCCACCTGCTGTATCGCACCGTGTAGATAGATATGCGCGTGTGCTTGGACAGGAAACGATGTTACTGATGTGAACGCAGACCAGCCATCATGATGCAGATCTAAAAAAAAAGAAAAAAGAAAAAAGAAGCTTGTAAAATCTGTCCTGAAGAAAACCTCTTTTTAAAATGTGTATATTGAATGGATTCTTATTGTTTTAAGTGACACAACGTCAAGCAGATTTGTGACTCAAGTGAAATGGTTTGATCTGTAACTGATTGTTAGCTTCACTTTAATGCAGATATTTGTTTATAGACTGTGTTTTACTGCACACACTAAAGCCTCCTGGTACGCTATTAGTCAACACAGCTCTGACTGCAAACGTTCTGCAAACAGAAACCACTTCCCCATGCTGAAACCTCCAAACCTCTGAGTACAGATTCTACAGAAAAAGAGATTTAAAGGAGCAGTAAAAAGATGTTCTTGAATTGAGCTTTCTTAATCCATCAGATGCCCTGAGTGCTCTGACCCGTGGTGAAGGAGAACCTGGAGTTGGGACACATCATTAAGTCTCGTTAGCTGGTTCTAATTGCCCACTTGTTCGTGCTCCTGCAGTCAGCTCCTGTGGAAGAGCCCGCTGAGGCGTCTAACGAGGCAGAAAGCGCCGACCCGGAGGAAGTGGATGAACCCAGCGGCCAGGTCGAGCCCGCACGTGCTCCCTCTGATCACGCTGAGGATCAGCCCGCAGCTCCCGAGGCAGCCGCTTCAGAGCAGAAAGAGGACGCCGATGAGCCAAAACAGGTTAGTGAGCCCGAGGCTGATCCCAGAGCATGTGGCTGCGTTAAGACCCGTCCTCCAACAAACAATCAAAAACTTCACCTTGAACTCGCTGCCAAGGTTTTCATATCTTTTTGGCAGATTGTAATTCTGTCCGATTTGAGGAGTTGAACCTTTTTAAATCGAAACACTCTCGCTCTCAACGCCAGGAGTCCAACTTCTCGATGAAGATGTGACACTTAAACGTCTCCGTGTTTATTAGAGCACAGATTCATCATCCATAACACGTCCTGAGTTGCTAACGTTTGCATTATCCTACATTCAACCCACAAATCTCCAACCTGTTCCTGTAACTCCTCAAGCTTTCTCGACCCTAAAGAGACTGAGCAGAAATGAAAATCTGTTTCAACCACAGCTCATAAAAAACGAGGAGTGCTGGTTGATTCCTGGCTCCGCAGGGTTTTTAACATCTGAAACCTATTTCTCTGAGGGGGTTTGACTGGCTGTTGTGCAATTTTTTGCACTGTTTAGCTTCCAGGAAGAAAACACTGCAAGCTTTTCTCCTTCAACAAATAATGAAGAAAATGCAGGCATGGAGAGGTTTGGAGGTCAAATGTCAGTGAGGCTGCCGCTGGCAAGAAAGAAGGGATGAATTTTACTGTTAAAAAATATGTGAAGAAGGAATGACAACTACATTTAAACCCTATATACATGTCCTGCCATTACCTTTTACTGCTCACTTAAAGGTCCAATCAGTAAGATATCTACTGAATGAAATCATAAAGGTACCTTACTATATGATCAGACATTAAGGAAACATGACAACAATGCAGCAGTCAGTATGTCCTCCTTCTAACTTTAGATTCTGCTCCTGAATGCTCTGGATTTGTTTGGACCAGAGAAGGTAGGAGGTTTTAAGGCATTCCCCCCACACGGCCGTTTTGGACGCCCCTCAGTTTGTCAGATATGAGAGCAGTTATCAGGTCAACAGGTGCTGCAGTGATGGAAGCGGTCAAGAGAACTGGTTCAGATAGAAGTGATTGTACCCGACCTAAAAAGCCTCTGCATGTTTCTAATAAGCTCCACGAGCAGAAACGTGCTCAAACTAGGATCAATATTGGAGATGCTTTTTGAAAAATGGAGAGAGGTTAGAACACAGAAAGGTTTACAGACCCATGCAGAGCTGGATAAACACTGAAGCTTCAGTGTCCACCACATGGTGACCTGAGTGAGCATCAGGAGGAGGGGGAGGGGGGGAGACAGCTCTCTATGATGTTTTGAATTTAGACTGCAGTACCTTTTAAACACTAGGGGTCAGAGTTGCATACTGCTTATTGAAGTAAAATAAGATCATTTATAGTCTTATTTTTATACCTTTTGCATGAGGATGTTTGTATCGCAGTCCAAACACATGCTTGTTAATTTAGTACTCTAAACTTCATGTAGCCTCATCGTTAAGCCTTTTTTAATCTTATTAATAATACTAGAATAACTAATGAACCTGGCAATACAAACCAAAATGACCTTCTTATCCCTACAGTTAAAAAAAACTATATAAAGGAGAAGCTTCATATTTCTCTTTGTCAGTGTCATCCAGCTTTAACTTTGTGCTCCGTGTTCCTCCTCCAGGAGACAGAAGAAGCTCCAGACGCCTCTGAGGTCACAGATGAAACCCCGACACTCGAAGAGACAGCTGTCAATCAAACAGACGCGACAACGTCCTCGTCTCAGGAGTCAGGGGATGAGGAAGGCAACGCAGCTGAGGTGAAGTAACAGTTTTGTTATTTATGTATTTAGAAGACAGAGCATGTGGACCCTCACAGTGAATAACAGGAGATTTCAATTTCATCAAAGTGAATTTCTGATTTTAAAGTGTCAAACAGGCACGAGGGTCCAACGTCTGTGAGTCTGGTTTTTGAGCTCATGTGAAAATTAAATAATGAAGTGTTAAACCCAGAACACAGTGCAGCTGCTTGTTGTTCTCACTGACTGGAAGAGATCCAAACGGGGTCTTTAAATCAGGAGAAGAAATGCAACGAGGTTAAAAGGTTCAGGTGAGAAAATGATCTTCACGTCTGCTTTTGGAGACTGTTGTTGACCTGTCTCCTCCTCCTGCAGGAGCCGAGCCAGGCCGAGCCCACCCCGTCAGACCCGACAGCTCAGGAGACCAATGAGCAGCCAGAAGAGAGTGAAGCCCCGCCTCCTGCAGGTATGAACAGCCAATAGCCTGCTTGATAACCGGGACGTTCTTTACATGCTATGTATGGCATCTTCCTCACTGCACCGACAAGAATCACAAGCTGTTGTGAAGAAGCTGCTCAGAGACTCTGAGACTTTTTAAAGCTGCTGATGAAAGAAACCTCAGAGTTTATTTATATATTTATTAAAGTCTTAGGAGAAAGGATTTTAAACAACCAGATTAGGGCTGGGCAATTCATCCAGTTTCAATTCAAACTTTAACCTCCCACTATGATGAAAACAAGATCATCGAGATGAAGCGATCACTGAGCTGCATGCTGTGTAGGTCTTGAAGGTTTGGTCATGTGAAGTAAATGTTTCAGAGTGTTTGTTGTTATATTCTGGCGACAAGAGTTCATCACTACCTCAAAACATAGTTGTTATTAGGTTTTATTATTTTCATGTATTGCTCGTTTTTCGAGTTTAAGTTAAATACGTGGATGTGCTGCAGACGTTGGAGTATCAGAGTTTAATTATCATGATCTCGATATCAATCTAAATAATAGTGATCATGATTTTTGTCCACAATCGAGCAGCCCTAACCCAGACACCAGTTAGATGTCCAGTTTGGTTTCCCAGAGTTTGAATCGTTTTCAAACTCATTTTTAGATGTTTTGTTGCATCAGCACAAAAAACACTTCAGTGACAGAAACATAAAAAGACTTATAGAAGAGTGTTGTTCTGCTTTAAACAATCAATCAAACTTTATTTGTACAGTGCCATTTCACAACAAATGTGATCTCAGGACATTACTCTCATTGTTTTAATATCTACAGAGACCCAACATTAATCCATCATGAGCAGAACCAGACTCATGATGAACAGACATCTGCTGAGAGTGAGCTGGGTTTGAAAAATGGGAAAGAGGGAGATGCAGGAAGAAGGGACAAACATGGGGGGAGGGGGGAGGGGGGGGTCCATAGCAGCAGCCTGTCCCCATCAAACATTCCTGTGTAACTCTAAGAAAAGAAAAGGTTTTTGGGCTTAAAATCGATTTAAATGATAAATTAATCTGCTCTGAACAAAGGTCTTAAAAAGAGTCTTCTTACAAAAAAGGGGAAAAGATGACATCAAAATGTCTTAAAGCCAAAATAAACATCATGTACTCTTGTTGTTCTGTCAGATCAAACTGTGACACATTCACTTTATCATCACATAAATCAATAAGACAATAAGAAAGGCAGAAGTCAGTGGAATCAGACAGCTGGAGCTCTGCAGTGTTATCTCCCCCCCCTTCAACTCTCTCTGCACAATGTCTTCTGATTGGTCGGTTGTCTCTCAGCCAATCCCATTGTGCCACATCATCTAAAGTGGACAGCACGCAGAGTTCCCCCCCTCCTTTCTCCAAGCAAGGCAGCATGGCAGTACTTACAGCAAGGATGAGACGTAAGGATTTCTTAATCTGTTCAATCTTATTCTATAAATAACGGAGCGTGACGCAGTTTAAAACCGTTTTTAAACTGAACTCGATCATTTGTGACCACTGAAACGTTTTTAAAATCAAATGAACATGTTAAATCTGTAAATGTGAGGAAGCTTTCTAAAATGTCCCACATTTAAATCAGGCAGAGGAGATGTAACCAGGAGTGAATAACTTGATTTATTCTGACTCTTATGGGTTAAATAACTTCGAATAAATCAGCGTTTAATGAATCCAGATGATCATGAAGGGAAATGTTTACACTTTGAACGTTTGGTTTTCTGGAGAGATTTCAGTTTTATGTCTCTCTTCTGTGTTTTAAAGATCTACTCGTCCTTTGAGCCGCTGGTTTCTAACTCTCTCTCTCTCTCTCTCTCTCTCTCTCTCTCTCTCTGTTAAATGATGATGAACTCTTTATACAGATGTTTTTACGCTTTATTTTTCTGACCGGTAAAAGTCTGAGTCTTCAAAACAGACGCCCCACTATTCAGAGTTAGCATGCTTTGTGTGTTTGCAGCATGGTTCTGTTACTAACAGGGTGGATTATGACTCCATTAGTGAAAAAGTTCTGTGTTGTTTACGTTTTTTGGATCTGCTAGTCCTTTCAGCTCGTGGGTTTCATAACATGTGCACACATGCTGAAGGTGTTTTCAGCAGGAAGTCGTCACTCTCTCTCTCAGTGGAGGGACACTCCACTACTCTGATATCTGTTGGCTGTGTAAAATGTTTTTTAGTTGTTTTATTGGCGTTGCATCTGGATCATTTTTTTGTGTTCATTTGTAGTCCAGCTAATGCTAACAACACAGAACAACCAGCGCTGCTAACACAGGTCTGAGTGCTGTGAGAGAGGCACAGTGAAACCACAGTGGTGTCAGTGAACTGCACGAGCTCCATTTGACCTGGATCAGGCAGCTGTAGGGATTCAGGACCCTCCGGTGTTGAGGAGCGTAGGAGGAGACTATAGCAGCAGTGAACAACAGGCAAAGGCCACATCTGAGCACATATCATTTTTCTTTCTGTCACTCAAGAAAAAGTTTACCGGTAATTTAATTAATATTGATGAAAAGGTAGAAAATGTGCAAAATACTGATTTGTCTTTGACTATGGAACTTCAGAAAACATGCCGATTTAACATTTACTACAGAAACCCTGCATCTCGCAGAAAGTTAGAAAGATTTATGTCTTATAAATAACACTTACAAGGACCTGTGTGTGAGACTCGAGTTGAAAACCCACACGCAGTTTGTTACATGTGTGTCTAAAAAAGACCCCACGATACGATACACATGATGTACATTGATTTTGGATAATGACCACATCCTACCCAGAATTCACAACAACAGCTGTTCTTAATTGTTGAGAATACCAGCAGAGGCGTAAGGAACTTAAAACACTTCCATTCAGGTCCTCAGAGATCCTAGAAATACATTCAAATATTTGAATCCCGGATATATGGTGTTAATGTGAGCTGCACCATAGGACAGCTGTCTTTCCAAATCATCACAGCTGTGCAGCCGTATCATTTCTGTAACATCTGCATCGACCCATCACACATGACCATATTTTGCCATATCCATTTTTTGAGTAGTTTCCTGCTCTGCAAAAACAGCCGAGTCAGCTGCTTTTCATTTAATACAGCCGACATATTTTTTTCATTTATTCTAGGAGAAAAAAAGAAAACAAGCATTTTTCTTTTATTGGCAGCGTGTTCTCTTCGTCCTCATGTGAAACAAAAAGAGAATGAGTGCGATGTCTTTCACCTGGAGGAGCTCTGACTCGACGACGACGACTGAACTTTTGAGGAGTTTGAAGGATTGCTGCCAAAGCGGGAGAGAAAAAAAAAACCGGAGAAGGCAGCCGTGTTCAGAGCGGGTTTCCACTCCGTCAGTCAGTTGTTTAAGTTTCTCTCGGGGGTTTGTTAAGCCTGTCAGAGCTTGTTAAAGAGAACCGGAGCGATGGCTGATGGGAGAATTACAGTCCTCAGGAACACGATCACCTCTCTCTCTTCTCTCTCTCTCTCTCTCTCTCTCTCTCTTTCTCTCTCTCTCGCTGCAGTTTTTTTCTGGATTATTTAAACACAGAAACAACCGTTCATGTTTTTTTTATTATTATTTTCAGCCAATCGAAATGTTTTCTGTTTCTCATTGGACTGAAGAATTGTAACATTTGTTTCTTTTTCTTTGTCAGAGTCTAAAAAGCAAAAGGAGGGAAAGGTAGCAGAGAACTCAAAGGTAAAAAAAAAAAACATGTTTTAGTGTCTTCTGTTGTGTGTTTGAATCAGCTGCACATTAAATGTTGAATCAGATCTGTGTGTTTATTGTTGTCTTTTCTGTGTTCGCTCAGATGGAGGTCGACTGTGAACCCGAGAAGAAGACGAAGGCAAACACTGACGTCCCCATCGTCATCGACTCTGGTGATTTTCAAAACACTTCACACAACTTTTCTCCAACTCCTCCTGTTTACTCAAACTTAGATCACACACACAACGCATCTATTGGTGTTTCCACTCTCAGAAGTTTGGAAATGAAAATAACCGATCCGTACCGCCTTACTTGCTGCCCTTCTGTTGGGGTGCCAGGCGTACTGATCAGACCCTAAAGGGTGGAGCTTAACTCACTGCAGTCTGTTGATTGGTCGGAAGAATTATCACTCCCCGTGCGACAGCGGTAATAAAGGACAAACACAAAATATCTGAGGATTTCAAGAGAGTCATGTCAAAGCTGTTGGACGACCTCCGACACACACATCACTAGCTCTATTCAGACTGCAGCTTCAGGCCCCTATATATATATATATATATATATATATATACACACACACACACACACACACACATGCCCCTGTGACGTGCGTGTGTGTGGGGCTCCAGCTGCACCATGCATGTGAATTCAAAGACTATGACCCCATTATTACGCCGTCATCGAATCATTTTGAACGTACAAAGACGTGATGACGGCTGAGCTTGGTCACTGAAGCAGTCTGAAAAAGGTCGAGTGTAAGTCACATAACATGAAACTGATAGAGATCAGCACAATTTTAGTAAAAACATTGATGTTAAATAAATCTGATAACACTGGAAAACACTTGACTTTAGCCTTTATTAACTCAGAAAACTGTCTTTGTGTTTCCCACATGTTGTTTTTGCTCTATTGAGACATCAGCAGAGATGATTACAGAAACATCTTTTAAGTCTATTCTTTACATTTATGCCTTTTTGTTTTTCCTCAACAGCAGCTTCAGAGGAGATCGTGGACCCAGACGTCTCAATCGTCCCCGAAGCGGCTGGAGGAGACGCTGAAACTCCCAAGAAGAAGAGAAGAAGAGGAAGAAGAGTGCAGGGACGCCGACCAGCGCAGACTCATCGGCCGTAGATACTCCTGCTGCTAGCACGCCTGCTCAGGCCGCTTCCCCAGAGAAGAAGACAAAGGCCAAGAAAAGGAAAATGGAGAGCGAGGAAGTGGAAGAAACTCCCGTCACTCCTTCAGAGGGTAAAAACAAAAAGAAGAAGGTAAAAGAGGAGGCAGAGGAGGAGAAGAAGGTGGAGAGTCCGGCAGAGACGACAACAGAGAAGAAGAAGAAGAAGAAAAATAAAAAGAAGAAGAAGAAGGTGGCTGGACAGGAGACAGAGGAGGTGCAGTCTGATGAGAAACCAGCAGGGGGCGCTAACGTTACAGGGAAGAAGGAGTCTTCAGGTAAAAAAAAAAAATCCTCAACTTCTCTCTGCTCTTGTTTAAAACCACAGAAGTTATTCAAACACTTTACACCTCAAAGTTAAATATTAATGACCCTTCACTCTTCATTGTAAGTTGATTGAAATGTTAATTACCTTGTCATGTTTTTTACATTTCCCTCTCTCTTTTTTCTGCTGCTTAAAGATGAAAACTCCTCGGCCAAAAAGAGAAATCGTCCCAGGAAGAAGCTGAGCCTGAGGAAGAGGCTGCAGCAGAGGAAGAAAGAGGACACGATGGGGAGGAGGAAGAAGAAGAAGATGGTCAGCGACGCTGTAGCTGCTTCAGGACAGGCGGAGGGCGCAGCGGAAAGTAAGACGCTCAAAGGCAAGAAGAAGTGAGTTACGTTTTGTTCTTTTTGTCACCTTTATGGAGAAAATGATAAATAATGAACATGTGACTGATGCGGGGTAATTTATTTATTTAATTTCTTTCAGACAAAAAGCAGCAGAAGAGACATCCCAACCGAAACCGGCCAAAAGACCTCCACCTGCTCCCTCCCAGGAGGACGAGACACCAAAGAAGAAAAAAGACGAAGCTGAACTCTGAAGCAGAGGAGAACTCCTCCAAGGAGAACGACCCGCCAAAGAACAACAAGAAGAAGAACAAGAAGAAGGGAGCGGTGAAGCAGGAGGAAGCTGCAGCTGAGGTGTCTCGACTCCAGGGAAGAAGAAGAAGATAACTGGAAAAGAAGAGACGACAGAAACCGCCATCACTGTGAGCTCAGACGTCTATGCAAAGAAAACCAGTGAGAACACTTTTGATTGTTGTTAGATAATATTTTTTTAAAAGGTTATCGGGGCTCAGAGGGCAGAGTGGTTAGTTCGTACAGAGGCTGGAGTCCCAGGTTTGAATCCGACCTGTGGCTCCTTTCCTGAATGTCATTCCTCTCTCTCTCTGATTTCGATTTCTGTCCCGTTTCTCTAATAGCTGCACCTAAAGTCCAAAGGTTATTTTTCTGGGCTTTTTCTGCCTTTAATGTAGAGATAGGACAGCGGATAGAGTCAGAAATCAGGGACAGAGAGAGAGAGTGGGTAATGACATGCATGGAAAACCCGGCCGTCGGCTTCGAGGACTTCAGCCTCTGTACATGAGGTGGAAAACAAACTAACCACTAGGCTACCGACGCCCCAACAGCACCTTAACTATGATTTTAAAAAAGGACATTGGATGATCAAAATCAAAACTAACTTGGTTGTGGATGACACTTTGTGAAAATGTGTGCTGACTTCTTGACCTGACTGATGTTTGCAGAGAAGAACAGATTAAAGGAGGCGGTGGTGGAGACAGAAGCTGCTGCAGACACACAAACTCCTGGGGTAAGAATCCCACACGGCTGGAAACGAAAAGAGAGCAGAAATAAATCTGTCTGTCATTATTAATACAATAAACAACAGCTTTATTATCTTGTTTGACTTCATCTTGTGCTTTTAGAGTAACGTCTGACTCCAGATGTTTTCAGTACATTTAGTTAGAACCTGAAGGGCATGAACGTTAAGATGTCTTACAGAGTAACATGAAAAATCATCCTCACTTGACTTTACCTTTTTTTTGATTCTGGCAGAAAAAGAAATCCAAGAAGGCGATGGCTTCTGCTTAAATGTGGGTAAGTAGCTCGTCAAAGATTTAACCTTCAACCGATGCTGCAATCTAAACGATGAAGGGAGTGAGAGAGGCTTGTTATTCTGAAGGTCTGATGTACATACAGTGTGTGTGGTGTTCAGGTTCCTGAATCACAATCAGCTTTACACACACGAGAGGAATTAGACTTCAGTGAACTGAGCTCTGTATGATCAAAAAGTTTAACATTAAATATCAACAATAAATAAATAAAGACTAATATGAACAAGACTAAATATGACATCAGAGCAGTGAACATGCTAATACAAACATATTCTGTAACAGACGGGTTAGTTTAAAGTAGTTACATTAAGAGTCTGCATAGATATCATGATTGTTATGGACACTTAAATGAGTTTAGATGTGAGTGTACTCTGAACTTTGACCCACAATGTTTCCTTTAAGTGACTCCTGCATGTAGTTAGTGTAGTGATGTCGTCATCTCGTCTCTGGTTTAATTAGTTTCTTAAAACAACTTTCCAGGCAAATGTAAAGTAAAATGGCATGAAACTGCATGACAAACATTTCTGATGAACCCAGAAGTCAAATAGAATCGAATCAGCACATGAACATTTCACCTTCTCCATATGAATTAAATTTAGAGATCTGTGGAGCTTTCCTTTGGGCTAATGAATATTTCTCTTCTCTCTCTCCTGGTGTTTCCTCTGATCAGACGTCAGTGGATAAAGTTTGTACCTGGACCTGAAGATCCCTGACCAGCGGGACAGTCTGCTCAACGTTTTGTGCCTTTTTTAACTCCTGAACTTATGTTCGAGTCAACATCAGTGTTTTCAGTCATTTCTACCTGTGTTTTTGTTTTCGCTCTAAAAACTGTGACGGCAATAATTCTACCACACGCCTCGTGATTTAAGTCCCGTGTCCACCTGGTGTTTTTTTTTTTTTGAGCGCCAGCATCTTTTGTCAATAAGATCGTGCCCTGTACCCACATCTTCTCGCTCCGTGTCCTGATAAAGTAGGAGGGCAAGCATCCTCCACTTGATGCTCATAGTGAAGGGGAAAACAAAAAACGATCTTAAATATAAAACAGTAAAACTCAGCATACAGAAAAGACGTACGTGCAGCGCTTTTACTCTGAGATCAAGCGCTTCATCCAAGGGCTCCAGAGTGCGCAGGTGGACACACGGCGCTACATGTTTTGATTACTGTCATCTGATTGGACGTTTATTTTCACAGTGTGATGTCAGTGGCAGAGAGGAAAACGTTTGGAGAATTATTAGATCACAATGATTTGATATGTAGTTTAGTTTTACTTTTCTTACTAACTAATTCATCGTTCCACTTCCTGTTCCATATTTTACTAAAGACTGCACACATTTGTTAAACAGAGGCCGACCTGTCTTCAACACTTTTAGTATAAAAGTAGTGAAAAAAAAAACATCACTACTCTCAGCCAAAGTTAAAGTTCCTAATGTTTAAAACCCAAAAGTATTCAGTTTAAAATGAAATAAAAGTGTATGTATTAAATGACTGGTGTTTAATGAACCTGGAAGTTGAAGTTTTGATTCATTTATTCATTAAAGAAATCGCCATAGCAACTCATTTTCCATCCTCAGTTGACTTTCATTTTCAGTTTCTAAAGAGAGAGTTTGTACCCGACTGAATTCTGACACTTTGAGGCGAGAACATCAAATCAGAAAGCATCGAGCGTTGATATGAAACCTCGTTAATGATGCGTCTCTCATCCAACCTGCTTCCTGTCGAGAGCAGACACACGGTCACACTCAGGCTCACATGTGACTTTGAGAATAGTAACGTATAACCCTCACTGTTGGAATACATATTAGGACCTCCTCTTTTCAACAAAGTCAGTAAAAGATGTTCTTCTACATCAGACACGTTTTATTCTGCTGGTGCACAGTGTTCACACATCCATGATCTCAAGCTGTGAAACTGAAGCTTTTCAAACCGCTCATGTTAAAAGTTAATCTGAGTTCAACTTTGTTTTCATGATTTTGAGTTGAAGAAGTTAGTTCAGTTTGATCGTAGAGGTTCTAAGTGTTGTTTTGTTCTTGTTACTTTCCTGTCAGTCAAAGCTGTGAAATCCAGTCTGTGTTTGGAGACTTCTTTAGTTTCCAGAGGTCTGCTGTTTACACTGTTTGTCTTTATACTCCCATGAGCTGTTAACTATGCATCGTATTCAACTGCTTTGATATTCTTTTGTTGTTCCCGAGGACCAGCGTGTGTGGGAGGGAATAAAAACTCTTAAAAACTTTGATTCTTTGCTGTCAGAGAAGAGTTATTCTCTCTTCATACTGCATGCCCTCTTTCACATCATTTCTACATCTGATTCAACTTTTTGATTGATTTTATTTTATTTCAAACATGCAAAAAACAAAGAAAGAAATGCAGTAATTAAAAATATGATGAAAACAAATCAACATTACATGCCCGAAAAGGAGTAGGAAGAAATGTATCTAGCTTATCTAATCCTACCCCTTCTAACATCAATATCCACTTTAAAATAATAACCACTGGGCGCTGGTAGCCTACTTAAACTGGTAGTGCCTCAGTTAATATTATTTGTTATAAGGGTAAGTAAGTGTGTACAAAATTAAGATATCAAGAAACCAAATCACTGATTTGAACTTTGTCAGAGACGGCCCATCCATACTAACCGGCTGCACCGTGGAGGAGAGAGGGAGAGAGCCTTGTTAATTTATTTTTGATTCACTAACTAATCAACATCAAATGCATCAGGGCTTCTTAATGAGAGCTGACTTGATCTGTCAAAACATTCAGCAACACCAGGCTAGTAAAAGGGACTGGACCTTAAATTGGGATGGGCGTTCATTTGAAGTTTTACGGTAAACTTAATTTTCTTTTTTAACACCTGTGATTCAAAAATTCTGTTGTCCCTCTTTTAATGATGCAACACAATTAGATTTGTTTCTCACTGGAACAAAACAGAAGATTTGACACCTTTTTTTTTTTTTGACTCATTCATTTTCTTCATCCCTCCACCTGTAAATCAATATTAACACAAACACAACTGGACTGGAGGCATGTTGTTGTTTTTTATGCCCGAGCTTCAGATGAGAGACAAGTTGTTTTTTACCGACATCGATTTCAAAACCTGGTTTCACACAGAGCGTCTGCTTCTTCACCTGAGGTGCTCTCTGTCTCACAAACATGGATTTCACCTGAAACAACAAACACATGAACCGTGTGTTAAGGTTTCTAGTTACTGAGTCTGTCAGATTATTCATTTCCAAAGATCATTTAGGCCGTTTAAGATTTATAAAAGTAACGTGTTTGAGGTTCACTATCACTTCCACCTGCAGATCACATTCCTCTAAATGTGAACTTAAGCGTGACATGATCTCACTTCAACTTTCTAAATTTAAAACAACTTTATTACATATCAAACTTTTAACTGAATTGATGTTCTGTGATTTAAAAAAAATCTAAATCCAATCATCAAACAGAGACACCCACACACATAGACAGAACAGTACATCACTTCTTCTTCTCAGGATCACATCCAGGAATATAAGAGCAGGATGAACTTTAATATGTTTATTATGTGATTACAGAGATGATTCTGTCAAAATGTAATGTGTGGCATGCATCTCTTTAATCTAAACTATGACGTTTAAGGAGGATCAAATCACCGGAAAACTGAAGACTACACTTTCAAAGTCACAGAAAAACTATTTGTTGGGGGATTTTTAATAAATGTAATAACTTTAAAGATTAAAGATTTCAATCCCTTTCAATCATTAAAACATTTTACATTTTGTTTGAACAAAGACAGAAGCACAGAATCAAACTTATTGCTCTGCACAGGTAACATACATCTACATTAGAGTCAATCTAAGAACAACATTATAAATACTCTAGATAAATTGTTGCAAGGAGTTTTTTGCTAAATGTTTTTATTTAATGAATTTAATCCTAAAGTGTTCATCTCGATCCTTTTGAAATGTTTGGAGGATTTTTTAACCGGGAACTAAACAAAAAAAAATGAATTTATAACTTAGTTCATTTAAACTTTGATGTATTGGACATGTGATAAGTTTTTGAAAGAAAACTCAATAACTGACTTTGCACAGCAGCCTCAAAGCAGATCGTTTTGTTGTTAAGTACACAAAGCTTCATTAAAGTGCAGATCTGTGTAATCCAAGAATCATTTCTCTCCCTGAGACAAAGCGACAGATTATCTGCATGAATGATTCTGTTCTGAAAAAGCAATTACATGTAATTACAGGACAAATTAGTGGTGAGAGTGAGCGGAGCAGCCAGCAGAGATAAAAAGCTACAGAGAGTGAGCCAGGAGAGCTTTACGGTCTGAACCCTGCACGCTCCGAACACTTTGAGTTTAAATCAGCGCTAAAGAAGAAGCAATGTGCTCGGATCATCTGGGTAATGTTTCCCTTAGGTTAAAGGAAAGAGCGCAGAGAGTTTTTAGAGACCTGGAATGTCCATGTAATGAAAATACGAGCTCATAATGGACCTTTTTACAGCAGCTTGAACCCAAAGCTAAAATACAGCAGAATGAAGGATTTAATATGAAGTGTGGGTGTATTTATGTACTGGTATTATATGAATATTCATCTTGCAACATTTAGCTGATTCTTCATCTGCAGAAAAACATCACGTGTATAAAAGAGGAAAACTACAGAAGAGGATTATGGCCAGACATGAGAAATACAGAATGATAGTTAGATAGTACTTTTTTCCTGTTGTCATCTTTAAAATATTGGTTTTGCAGCGATCAAGTTTCACAAAGCGTTCATCATGTTTGGACTGGAAGAGCTGGAGGTCGATTACACTGCAATGAAGACCGCACACCCTTCACCCCTAAATTAAGATTTCATAGTAGTAACCTCTCTCCAGGTAGGGAGTAAGTCCTGCCAATAGTGAAGGAGTTTAAGTATCTGGGGGTCTTGTTCAAGAGGGTAGGATGGACCGTGAGATAGACAGAAGGATTGGCTCAGCGTCGACAGTAATGCGGGCGTTGTGCCAGACCTTTGAGCCTGAAGGCAAAGCTCTCGATTTACCGGTCGATCTTCATTCCAACTCTCACCTGTGGCCTCATAGTGACCAAAACAATGAGATTGTGGACTCAAGTGGCTGACATGAGCTTCCTCCAGAGCTTGGCTGGGCTCAGCTTTAGAGAGAGGAGCTCAGACAGTCGCGGGGAGCTCGGATCGAAAGGAGTCAGTTGAGGTGGTTCGGGCATCTGATCAGGATGCCTCCTGGACGCCTTCCTTTGGATGTTTTCCGGGCACGTCTAAATAGGAGGACTAGCCGATGTAGACCCAGAGTTGGCTGGAGGGATTATATATCCTGTCTGGTCAGGGAACACCTTGGAATCCCACAGGAGGAGATGGAAAACGTTGGCTGTTAAGTCTGGACCCGACCTTGGATAAGCTGAGGAAAATGGATGGATGGATGGTAGTAACCTGTTGATTACTTCTTGATTCTGAAATTACTGAATCCAACTAGAATTAAAAATTCAAATCATCTAGTCCTGTCTTGTTTGTCATTTACAACATACTTTTAATGCACAGGATTCAGATCAATTTCTAACACATCGTACACAGATGTTTACAGATGTTTACCTTCAGCTATCCAACAACAAACTCAGCTCATCGACAAACCAAACCTGTCTGTGTGCGCTGGAGCGAAAACACCAAGCACAAACACCTTCAGAGGTTAATGACCGTCAGTGATTAAAACTAATTTCACGCCGTTGCAGTTTGTGAAGCTGCACACACACACACACACACACACACACACACACACACACAAACACAAACACAGCAATTTGTCAAGATTAGCGTGGATGCCCAGAAGCATATCACAGCTGTCAATCAAAGCACGACCTCTCTGAAATAGGTGAGGGGAGTTTCCTTTTCAGATTTGTCCAAAAAAGTCCCTGCAAAGCACGATTAAGTTAAGCAGTGAGACTTTCAACACTGATAAAGACCAGCTACACTGATCCAGAGGTAATGAGCAGGTTACCATGAAGCTCCCTGACTGTTGTCATCTGTCCCAATCATTCCTGCTGCACGGCTTCATTTTGATTTGTTGCAGTCCAATAAAATCTGAAAGTTGAGTTTTGTCCCTGAGGCAGCGACCTGAAGTCTGTATCGACTGGATGCACACTAAAGAGAGATACAAAAAAAAGAAAGAGCTACCTTTGTGTTTTTAATTCCTCCGTGTGAGCGTATTTTCTCTGTTTTTCTGAAACACGGCCGTCCCAGCAGAAGCAGAGGGACAAAAAAAGCTTGTTACATGTGTGCAGTTTGAAGACCCCAGCAGAGAGATGTTCCAGCAGGGAGCAGTGTTATTGTGTTCTGTTGTGAGATGGAAGAAGTCTGCTGAGGTTTGGTCCCGGTGATTTGTTTGTCTGCCGAATGAGTTTTCTGTCTGTCATTAAAGCAGCCGTGCGGGGAGAAGCAGTCCGCCTGTCACAAGCCCCTCTGAGACCGCATCGGAGTTCAGCTTTCCCCCCCACCTGCCTCCGTTTATTTCTGTCCGTGTCTGTCTCCGTCTGTCTCGGTTTCTGCCAATTGTCAAAGGTTGTCTTTGTCATTTTCTGCCTTTTGTTTCTCTTTGTATCGGTCCCTGTTTGAGTCGGGTTTTTCTCTGTCTGCATCCATCCTGTCTCTGTCTTTATTCTTCCATTTCTGTCATTTGTCCTTCTCCTATCTGCCCTTGTCTGTGTCCTTATCTGTCTCCTCTGTAACCTTCTATTCTTATTTTACAGTCTGAACAAGTGTTCTTCTCAATTTGTGTCCATCTGGGTCTGTTTGTATATTTTATGTATTTATTGAATTAGTGCACATTATTTAACACATCATCAATATGAGTCTATATGTAAATATGCTGGAATAAGCTAAATAGGATAAAAACATTAAACAGACGTTACAGATGACCTCTCAGGACAGTCTTTTTCCTAAAAGATAAAATATAGACTTATAGAAAAGTAATGCTGCTCAATCATCACTTATGAGCATGAGCATGTGTAACAATGTCTGCAGAGAGCCTGTCCTCGGCTCGGTTTGTTCGGTTTGTTTTGGTTGGCACGGTACATATCTGGGCGAGGATGCTGGTGTGTTTCCTCCAGCCAATGACAGCGTGCAGGTGTGTTCAGGAGTGGATACAACTCAATCATTTGACGCGATTCATACCGAGCGATTATGAAAGACGTGGCTGTAGCGGGGTCAGCACAAGTTCCCACATTTCTAAGATTTTTCTTAAAACTAG